ATTACATGTGGAGGAAAGAAAATGAGAATTCTCACCAGAAACTATGAAAGCCAGAAAGCAAATACAACACCCTTAAAGTGCTGGAAGGAGGAGAGGAAGATGGGAAGGAACCACCCAGAATTTTCTATTCTGCAAAAATATACTCTAAAAATGATGGCAAAATAAATATCTTTTCCAGACAACTATGCAAGAGAATTTTTGCAGCATACTCACACTAAAAGAAATTGTAAACATTTCAAATTGAAAGAAAATTATATCAGAAAGTGTAATCTATGCAAAGAAAGTAAAAGCACCTGAGATAACTTTAATATATTTATTTATGATTAGTTAATTTTCTTTAAAGGACAACTGACCACTTGAACTAAAGGTTTACAACTTTGCTGCAGTTGTTATTACTTGTTATCAAGTCACCTGCGACTCATGGTGATTCTCTGTACAACAGCCCTACATTCTGCTCTATCCTGTGCCAATCCTATTGTCTCTGACATACCCACCCCCATTACAACTAAAGAGAAGTACAATACATGAAAACAATCGCATAAAGGAAGATAAATAGAAGCATAATAAGACTCTTCTGTTACAGGTTAAGTGTTTTGACTATTATTTCATGGGAGTCTGTGTTAAATTAAGAGCACATATTTTAATCCCTAGAGCAACTACTAAAAATAAGGAGGAGGAAGAAAACAAGAAGGAAGATGAAAGTCAACAGAAATCACAAGAGAATTAAAAAAAAAATTTGACCTGGATAATAAAGAAAACAAAACATATCAAAATGTGTGAGAAGGAAGAAAAACTTGTTTAGAGGCAAACTTTTAACTTTAATTTCAAAATGTAACAATAAAAAATTAGGACTAGAAGGTTAAAACTCAATTATTTAATCTTTCAATATTTAATGCTACAAATAAAAAAGAAGAAACCCTATCCAGGTAGAAGAAAGCAGAAAGTAAAGTAGATATTAAGATAAGAAATGAAGCAAAGAAAATACAAGTTTCTCTCAAAAAAATCAAAAGGTCATTGCAAAGACAGAAAAAAAGATCAAAGTGGATTTCAGAAGAAACCTGCACTAGAACAAAGAAAGAGCCAAAACAAAGGGAAGAAACACTGGAGGATGAACAGAAGATTACAAAGGGCAGCTAGAGAACACAGAGCAAATGTGCAAAGATTGGAGTTAGAAAATAAAAAGGGAAGAACATAAAAAACATTTCTTAAGCTAAAAGGACTTAAACATTAAAGCTGAAAAATTAAAGCCTTAAGTTGCAATACTGAAGGACTCTATTGGCAAAATCTCGAATGATGCAGGAAGCATCAAAAGAAAATGGAAGAAATACAGAGTCACTGTTCTATCAAAAGAAGATAGAAGGAATACACAGAGCACAGTTACCAAAAATAATTGGTTGACACAACAGTTTCAGGAAGTAGAATATGATCAAGAACCAATAGTAATGAAGGAAAAAGTACAAGCTTCACTGAAGACATTGGCAAAAAATAAGGCCTTTGGAAATAGATGGAATATTCCAACAAACAGATGCAGCCCTGGACATACTATCCCAGGAAAATGAGAAGACAGCTACCTCACTATCTAACTGGAAAAGATCTATATTTGTTCCCATTATTATTTTTTAATAGGTGAGCCAATAGAATATGGATATTACAGAAAAATATCATTAATATCACATGCAAGTAAAATTTTGTTGAAGATTATTAAAAATGGCTAGAATAAAATCAACAGAACAGTCAGAAATTCAAACTGGACTCAAAACAGGCTGTGCCATGAATGATATCACTGATGCTATCAGACAGATCTTGGCTGAAAGCAGAGAACACCAGAAAATATTTACTTGTGTTTTATTGACTATGCAGAGGCATTTGACTGTGGGGATCATACAAATTATGTATGCCACTGGAAAGAATGGGAATTCTAGAAAATACAACTGTACTTATGTGAAATTAAAATATGGAAGGAGTATAGAGAGAGAGACACTGTACCAAAAAGATTTGGCTAACACAGAAGAATTTCATGAAACAACAACATATGATCAAGAGGCAAAGGTGATGAAAGAGGAAGTGCTGGTTGCTCTGAAGTACTTGGCAAAAAATAAGGCTTTAGGAATTTATGAAGTACCAATTGACATATTTCAACAAACGATGCCCTGAACATGCTTACCAGGTTGTGCCAAGAAATCTAGAGGACAACTACCTGGCCAACTGACTTGAAGAGATCCATATTTGTTCCCATTCCAAAAAAAGGTGACTCAACAGAGTGTGGAAATTATCAAACAATATCACTAATATCACACGCAAGCAAGATCCTGCAGAAGATAATCCAAAAACAACTGAAACAGTATATTGACAGATAACTATAAGAAGTACAGCCTGGATTTAGAAGAGATTGTGGAATTAGAGACATTACTGCCAATGTCAGATAGATCTTGGCAGAAAGCACAGAGTACCAGAGGAATGTCTATCTGTGTTTCACTGACTATGCAAAGGCACTTGACTGTGTGGATCACAACAAATTGTGGCCAATTTTGAGGAGAATGGGAATCCCAGAACACTTGATTGTGCTCATGTGAAACCTATGATCAGACCAGGAAGCAGTCCTCAGAAGAGAGCAAGGAAACACTGCATGGTTCAAAATCAGGAAGGGGGTGAATGAGAGATGCATCCTGCCTCCATATCTTTTCAGTCTATCTGCATAACAGATCATATGGTAATCTAGGCTTTATGAGGAGGAATGTGGCATCAGGATTGGAGGAACACTTATCAACAACCTGTGTTATGTAGATGATTAAACCTTGCTTGCTGAAATTTAGGAGGACCTGAAGCACTTGCTGCAGAAGGTCAAGGACTATGGTCTTCAATATGGATTGAAACTCAACATTAAGACAAAGATTCTTACCACTGGGCCAATTGGAAGCACCATGATAGATGGAGAAGAGATTGAGGTTGTTAACAATTACAGCTTGCTCAGCTCCACAGTCAACACTCTTGACACCAGAAGTCAGGAAATCAAAAGATTAATGGCATTTGGAAAAATCTGCTATCAGGAACCTCTTCAGAGTATTAAAAAGAAATAATGTCAGTCTAGAAACTAACGTGCGCCTGATCAAGGCCATGGTGTTTGCAATTACGTGCTTCAGATAGCTAGATAGTGACTAACGTATGACAGAAGAAGAATTGATGTCTTTGAGTTGTGGTGCTGGAGAAGAGTCTTGAACTTAACATGGACCACCAAGAAAACAAATAAGGCTGTCTTGGAGAAGGTGAAAACAAGTTTGTCCTTGGTGACTAGGATTTTGAAGTCCTGTCTTACATACTTTGGAAATGTGGCCAGAAGGGACCAGTCCTTGGAGAAGAACATCATGATAGGAAGGGTGGAGGGACAGCGCAGGAGAGGAATACCCTGGATGAGACTGATTGATATTTAGAGCAAGTTTAAACAGGGTGCTATTTAGAGGCAAGGATGATAAAACTCCATCTCACATATTTTGGGCATATTATCAGGAAAGGCCAGTCCTTTGGGAAAGATCATGCTCGGAAAGGTCGAGGGTCATCAAAACAGAGGATGACCCTCAAGGAGATGGTTTGACACAGTGCCTGTAACAAAGGGATCAAGCATACCAAAGATTGTGAGAACAGAGGAAGATAGAGCAAGGTTCAGATCTTTTGGACATAGGTTTGATATAAATTGCAGTCATCTCAATAGCAACTAACGTAGACTGATATTTTTTTTAAAAAAAGTGAAAACATATGAACAATATCAGGAATGAAAGAGGGATATCACCAGAAATAGAAGAAACAGAAAATCTGAGTAGCTATGCTTCTCAGATTTTTTTACTATTTAAATTATAAATAGTATTTACAATGTAAAAAAAAAATCCTTCAAAGAAATCTTCATTTCTTGGTGGCTTCTATCAAATGTTGAATTTTACCAAATATTTAAAAAAATTTATCATGGCAAAAACATACACAGTAAAACATCTATAATTTTAACCATTTTCAAGTGTACAACTAGTGATGAACACCTTTACCATGTTGTGGAAGCATCAACACAACCCATTTTTAAAATCTTTTATCTCAAATAACATACTATGACAGGTTTGGAAGCAGGAGCGGCATCCACTTCCTAAAGAACATGCCTCCAGAAACTCTATGAACTTTGAAAAATGGGCTTTAGGTCTTTTGTTCATAGGGTAGCTATGAGTCGTGCTTGAAGGCAATCAACAACAATCTCAATCTGAAACAGAGCAATCCCTAAGCGATGATATCCTAGCTCTCTTTCTTGCTCTTAAATGCATCTCCAGTAGTTACCAGAAACTTTTTTCTTTATGGACCTGCCTATTCTAGAGATTTCACTTAAGTGGGATCATACAATATTTGCCCGTTTGTATATGAATTATTTCACTCAGCATAATGTTTTCAAGGTTCTTTCATGTCATAGTATGCATTTTTATTGCTGAATAATATGTCATTGTACAGACATACCACTTACATGTGTCTGTTGTTAAACACTCGAGTCATTGCCACTGTTGAACGTGAATACTGAATATGAGTACTGCTGCACAAGTGTCTATTTGAGTGCCTGCTTTCAGTTCTTTTGAGTATGTATCTAGGAATAGAAGATTCTCTTGCTAGATCACATGGCCATTTTCTTTTTCACCTTTTAGGAATTGCCATACTGTTTTCCAAAGCAAATGAGAGTTCTGGTTTTTCACATTGTTGTCAACACCTGTCATTTCCCACTTTACCGATAATAGTTACCCTTGTGGGTGTGACTAGTGGTGATCCTTTATGTGCAGAGCACAAACGCACTCCATTCCTGGATGCAGATTACCTGGCCTTTCTTGTGACATATCTTTAGATGGGTCTGAGATTAACCATTCAGTTAGTTATGCAGCTTCATATCCTCCTTTACTTACAGTTTCTAACAGGGCCATCTTCCAGTGTCATTAAAGATCCTTAAAACACAAATTATGATTCCATACAGAAAATATGTTCACCTGTTGTTCTAGGATTATAGTCTTTTCTCGCTCTGCATTAAGAACCATTCTTTTCGTATACTCTAGCTGCCTCTCCAGAAGAGTACAACGAGACTGGGCTGAGCTTAACTGGATACTTATATCTATGAAAAAAAACCAAAAAACAAAAACAAAAACAGAAGAAAAATAAATTGGTTGATTATCACATAGTCTAGAGAACTGGGTATTGTGAAAAATGTGGTATATTAATTCAATCAAGGGCTGAAATACTTCAAGACTTCTTCATTTCTAAGTACTAACTTGCTTTGAGCTGTAAAAACCTATTTTGTGAGTATTTAATTAATAACAAAGAACTGACTTAACACTCCATAGCCCTAGAGATCCAGTGCTTATACATACAACTGAAAGCAAAGCATACAGCACAGGATGATAATAAACATTCTGGTTATTCCTGGAAAATGACACCATCTGGGAAAATAGAAGCCTTAAAGGCTCATCCCTATCACTCAGGAAATGCAGGTATAGGCATTCTACCCCTCCTATTTTTTTCTCTGCTTCTCAGTTCCATAAAGAATTAATATCCCTTTTTGAACTCTCACTTTTTCCTTTGCTCAGCTTTTACTTCCATTTTTCCTTACTAGAAAATTTTTTCCTCTCACTTTCTTATGTATTTATAATCTGAGCCACAAACATAGTCCTAGTATATAAAGGTGAATGTATCATGGTGAAAAACACAAACAGAAGGTCATAAATTTTGAAGTGAAAGTATACACAATAAAGACTTACATAAGATTTATGTCCTTATGCTCTAAACCTCTTCTTCTCTTCAAATGAGTATTCATAATTTCCACAGAAACCTCTATATATTGCTATTCTTAACTTACATAAAATTATTTTTATGAGTGTTGCTTTATATTTTAAACATAAAAATAATTCTAACTGAAAATTTAAAGCATCCTAGCTATAATATGGATTAAATTGGATTGGTTATTATGAGAATATTGAATTGAATTTTTCTAAACACAGCTTATTTAAGAACTTAATTTTTATTTTCATCTTGACAATTGCCCTCAAAGTATCAAAACGTACGCAAGTAAGACCTCAAGTTATGTATGTATATAAGAAAAGTGTTTCAGTAAATCTATTTGGACGGAGAATATTTTGACATTGCAAACTCAAGTAACATTTCCATTTCTGGGAACCACTGCATTTTCTTACCTTTTTTCTGCTTTATCAGTTCCTGATGTGCCAGATTTCGCTCATTTGTTTCATTTTCCAAAGCCTTTTTATACTCTGCAGCTTCTCTGGTCAGTATGTTCAAATTATCTTCAGCTTGTGTTCTCTCAAGCTCTAAACGACGAATCTTGTCCTGAAGAGTTCTTAGGGCTAAAATAAGAGCTGTTGGGGGGAAAAAAATTGCTTGCAGTTCTAAACTGGAGTTTTTGAAGCAATGCAAAAATTACAGAAACATGTATAAGTGAGCAATACATAGTTTGTATTAGTATTTGTATATAGTTATATAGTTTATATAATACATAGTTTGTATTAGTATTTGTATAGTGAAGTTTTAGTTTACTTGGCTCCACAGTCAACACTCTTGGTAACAGCAGCCAGGAAATCAGGAGATGAACTGCATCGGGAAAGTCAGCTGTGAGGGACCTCTCAAGAGTACTGAAGAGCAACGACGTCAGGCTGGAGACTAAGGTGTGCCTGATCCAGGTTATAGTCTTTGCAATTACATGCTATGCATCAGAGAGTTGGACAGTGAATAGGGATGACAGAAAGAGAACTGATGCCTTTGAGTTGTGATGCTGGAGAAGAGTGTTGAATATACCATGGACTGCTAGGAGAACAGACAGGTTTGTCCTGGAGAGGGTGAAGCCAGAATGTTCCCTGGAGTCAAGGATTCTGAAGCTTCATCTGACATACTTTGGGCATGTTGCAAGGAGGGACTGGTCCTTGGAGAGGGACATCATGTTTGGGAGAGTGGAGGGACGGTGCAGGAAAGGAAGAACCTTGATGAGATGGGTCGATTCTGTGAGTGGAGTGGTAGGAATGAATGTTTTTGATACAGCAAGGTTGGCACAGGATAGAATGGTGTTTAGGGCTCTTGTACATAGGGTCGCTATGAGTCGCAAATGACTCGATGGCACAAAGCAACAACAACAACAACAACAACAACATAGTGAATCAAAAAAATGTACTGGTAATGAATGCATTACTGTTGTGTGCCGTTGAGTTGGAACTCATAGCTGACCCTCCAGTGGGTTTTCGGAGGCAGTTAATCAATTGCATGGGAGGAGATTGTCTATCCTTCATCTCCCACAGAGCAGCTGGATTTCAACCACTTGTTTTGAGATTATAGTGCAGCTTCTTACAACTAGGCCACCAGGGCTCCCAGAATTAATGCATATACCTCATAGAATAAAATGATTAAAATTCCAAAGAGGAATAGTTCATCTAATGTATTTTTTTAAAACAATATGTCTTTCTGTATTTAGTGATTTTAGAGTTGAGAATAGTAATTTAAAGTGAAGAATGCTGATAACCATACACTTTTTATTGTTGGGTGCTGTCAAGTTGGTTCCAATTCACTGAGACTCTCCATGTATAACAGAACAAAACACTGCCCAGGGTCCTGTGCCATCCTCCCACTCACTGCTAGTCTGAGTCCACTACTGTTGCTACTGTGTCTACTTCAACTGAAGGTCATCATCTTTTTCTGATGGCCTTCTACTTTGCCCAGCATGCTGTCCTTTCCCAGGCACTGGTCCCTCTTGTTAAAAAAAGTTCACAATTAAAATTTTTTTACTTTCTTTTGAGTTGTGCCTTCATTGTTAAACAACCAAATTAGAGATGGATGAAATATAAATAACTGCTATAGGTTAACTTTTATACAGTTTGTTTTTGTTAGGTACTATTCAGTTTTGACCCATAGCAATCCAATATATAAAAGAATGAAATACTGCATATCATATCATATCATATCATATCATATCATATCATATCATATAGTTTGGAGCTAATTAAAAAGATATTTGCTTGAGATTATAATTTAGCTTTTACAAATGAGATAAAGACCACGTATTTATGGTTTTTTATCTAAAGAGTTCCTGGATGGTATAGTTAATGAATGCACTTGGTGTTAATGGAAGATTTTTGGTGAATTGAATCCCCTAAGAGGTATTGTTTTACTTCATAAAGCTAGTGTATTTATGACTTTTAGTATCCAAAATCCAAAAGGCCACTGCTGATTAGTGGATTCTAACTAGTAGTCTGTGGCTATACCCGTCAAGTTTCCCCCATAAATCTTCATGGGAGAAAACTGTCCATCTTTCTCCTGAAGAGCACTCAGGCCTTTAAATGCCAACATTTTGGTTAGCAGCCCAACATTTAATCTACTAGATCCTAGGACTCATTAGTTGGTCATACAGAATGCTGGAAAATTACATGATAATCAGCATCTTTGAAAGTAATTTTGGAGGAACATTCTTCTACTTTGTACATCATTGCTTGCCAATTTGCTGTACTCAGGTAATCTGAGTTTGCTGTGATGCTGAACCTGGACCTCTTGGGTATCAAATGCCATAATGGTTTACCAATGTGGACAGTGTTTGGTGGAGCTTCCAGTTCCAGGACATGATTGGAAACAGGAGTGGCATCCACTTCCTAAAACACTTGCCTATGAAAACTCTATGAACTTGGAGAAACTTACAGAAAGGCTTTAGATCTTCTGTTCATGGAGTCACTATGAGCCATGCTTGACTTGATGGCAATCAACAACAACAACACAGCATATAATATATGGCATTAAAGTAATGAATATTTTACTAGTCAGGTCTAAGATCTTGCTAAGTTGCCATTTAAAATGTTACATGACTTTTCTTTTGCAGTTACTCTAAGATACTGCCTTACTATGAGATTTTTAAGTGTTATTTCAGATATGTTGTTGTGTACCACTTAGTCAGAAGTGACCCATAGCAGACCCTCCAGCAGTTTTCAGAAGCAGTTAATTGCACGGGAGGAGATTGCCCACCTTTCTCCTGTGGAACAGCTGGTGAATTAGAAGACACATCACTTTACTAATGTACTAACATTCTAAACACTTCATTTAGAAAGATTTAAAATCTGACCTTTATTCTTTAGAGTATTTTCCTGTTAACACATTAAGTTTTTAGGTAAGTCTGTGGCATTTGTGTCATTGGTAATATTAATTTTTTATTTCTTAGCTAAAGAAGTCAAAATAAAGCATATTAAGTGTCTTGGCTAAGTTCATAGAAACTTTTAGTAATAGAATCAAAATTAGGAGATTTCATTGCATTTAGCTAAATAAAAAGTCATATTGCTTATTTTCTATATACAAATGAAAGGTTTTAGAGAGCATACTTTGTATAGCATTACCTTGGCTATTTGGACCATGAAGTGCTTTAGGAGGACTAATGTCAACATTCACATGGCAGTAGTTCTTTGCTGTTTCATGCTGGGTGAATGATGGAACGCACACTTTTTCTGGAGGTTTAAGATAGCTTCCAACTACACTGTGCATTAATTCAGAATCCATTACCTGTAGACAATAGGATGATACAGCATCAATCTTTTCTACATGAGTGACAAAGATATACAAAAACTCAGGTAACACAGATATATACTCAGATACATAACCATATTGTATGCAGCTGTATCTTTATGGCATTAATGATCAAAAATTCAACAATAATTAATAAGAGTAGCAAAAAAAAAAGGAAAGAAAAGTGGCTCTTTGTTATGTAAACAATATGGGCAATTCTACCTGCTAGTAACTTGAATTTGCTGTACTTTCATCTGATCACAGGCTCCCTGTACTTCTCATACTTGACACACTTCTCTACCAAGAGTATGACTATACAACTTAAGGAGAAAATGCATTTTAAAGAACAGTACAGCTTTTAAACACAAGCCAATCATAGAACCTAATTCTCTACTTAGTGATTATTGGACTTCATTTTACTGTAGGTATTTTCAAGGATAATTTTGGCTATACAAAATTTCTGACTCTAATTCTTGAATACAACTTATCTAGAAGGATTTCAAATATCTAACATAAATTTTATTCAGTCTCCTTTATGCTTTCCCCCTAGGGAATTTTTTGTCTAACTTTTCATTTTTGTAAAGTAATTTCATTTTTCATTCTGTATTTTAAGTCTTTTGGAATTGCATTCTAGTCAATATTGATTAATTCATGCCTATATATTATTATTCTCTAGTATACACAAACACATATGCACATGAGATAAAACTCAGCAGTAGGGATTTTGTCTATGTATCTCAGAATTTCACAGATGCAACACTTTAAAAAAAGATTGCTTGTTTTAAAATGCAAATGTAAGAATTCCATTGTACAATTAGCCAATTATAACATCTGAGAAGATTCTGTAGTTTCACTACCTTTCCAATTCACAAGGCAAAGGAAGAAAGACCCTTCTTATGACTTTATTTCCTGGAAGGGCACAGAAAATCACTTCTCAGGATTTTCTACTTTAGGCTTTGCTGTGACTGGTTGGATTCCAGGACATTCTGAATCATCTGAGCCATGCCTAGAGACTTCTGAGGTGATACACTCTAAGAAGTCTTGCTAGAACACTTTTGCTTTTGGAAGGCAATGCTTTTTTTTTTAAATTTATTTCTGTACTGTCATTAGTACCAGCTATCATTTACTAACCATGTCTCCATCCCTCTGGGTTGCTGCTGCTCACACCCTCTCTCCCATGGGAGAATGCATCTGTTTAAGTTGCTCTTCACTCAAAAAACAAGAAAGTAGAGTTGCTTCACAATGAAGTAGTGGCTGTGCCCCAAAGTGCAGAAGTTTTTGAAATAGCTATTGCTCTTTAGAGAAAGGTTAACTGGTTGAAGCAATTTGAAGAACCATTAGAGCTACTTAAGATATGTGACTCCCTTTTTTTGCTCTAAGTGGCTTTCTCCAAGAATAAAATTTGGGCATCTACAAGTCGCTGTGGTGGCACAATGGTTGTCTAGCTACCAAATGAAAGGTTAGTGCTTCAAACCCACCAGCTGGGATAAAGGTATAGCAGTCACTTCCATAAAGATTACAGCCTTGGGAACTCTATGGAGCAGTTTTATACTGTCCTGTAAAGTTGTTATGAGTCACTGATGTCAATGAGTTTTGTTTGCTTAGTTAGAGAATGAAATCCTTGGGAAGGCTCTGCTTCCTCCATGCCAAACATCTTACTAGTTACAAATTAGACTTTGACCAACTGAAAAACAGGTTCAAACTTGAAGTTTTTAATGAATATGAAATAACTGCTCAGAGGATGCTAAGTGGTTAGAAATGATTTAAAAGTAAATGTGTAAATGCATAATAAAATGGGTATACATGTAGAGTAATAACGTACTGGTAGAATGAAAATAAGATAAACAGGAAATTAATAAAGGGAAGAAGAAAGCCAAGCTATACTGTGACACAGAGTGTGGGGATTTTCACTCTAATAGGATTTCCAGTTGAACCTGACAGTGTGGCCCTGTACTGTAAATTGGTGCAGCAGCTTAACTGAAAGTCATTCTCAAGGAAGAAGAAATAAGTGCAAAACACTTGCTCCAAGCCTAAAAGCATTTTCCTTGCAAATGAGGACCAGACAAGGATGCCCACTGTCACCACTTCTAATCAATATTATCTTGGAAGTACTTGTTAAGGCAATACAACAAGAGAAGGAAATAAAAGGCATTCAGATCAGCAAAGAGATGGCTAAATTGTTGCTATCCGCAGATGTTATGATAGTGTATGGAGAAAACCATAAGGAGTCAACAAAAAGACAGTCAGACCTAGTGGAAGGATATAAGATCAATATCTAAAAATCAGTGGGATTCCTCTACAGTAACCAGTAACAAAGAGAACTCAGAGAAGTAAATCAAGAAAGCTATATCATTTATAATAGTCAACCACAAATTGTGATACTTGGGAGTGAACCTAACTTGAGGTACAAAAGACCTGTGCAAATAAAACTACAGAGCATTCATGTGAGACACAATAAAAGACCTAAAGAAATGAAAAAATGTGCCCTGTTCATGGATAGGAAGAGTCAATGTTGTGAAAATGACAATCTTACCAAAAGCAATCTACATGTTCAATACAATTCCAATACAGATACCAAACTCACTTTTCCAGGAGATCAAAAGAAAAATTGTCAGGTTTATTTTGGAGAGGAAAGAAACCTCAGATAAACAAAGCACTTCTTTTTTTTTTAAATTATTATTAATTTCAATGAAAATTTATAGAGACTTTGGATTTCCATTCATTCATTGTTACACTCTCCTCCCTTCCCAAACCTTCCCCCCCCGCCCCTCACTAACCCTCTTGGAAAAGTTAAAGAAAAATTCTTTCATTGTTTTACAGTCCCTCCCTCCAGGTCCACTCCACTATGCAGCCTTCGCTCTGGACTCCCATCATGACAAAAATACCCAATCACAGATCCCTTTTAAACAGTTTTCTCTCTCATCTGTTTCAATGCAGTATACATTACTGAACCCATCTTTCTCAGTCTCCCCCCCACCCCGAGGTCAGTCCTGTTTTACAACAGTGGCACCATGCAGTATTTGTCCTTTTGTGAATGAGATACTTCACTAAGTATAATGTCCTCCAGGGTCACTCATTTTGAATAATATTGCATGAGTTCCTTGTCTTTCAATGCAGCGTAGTATTCCATTGTGTGAATATACCAGAGCTTCTCTATCCATTCATTTATTGATGGGCACTTAGGTTGTTTCCAACTCCTGGCTATTATGAACAAAGCTGTGATAAACACGGGAGTGCATATATCTGCTTGGATGTCAGTTATGGTCTCCTTGGGGTATATTCCCAGTAGTGGAATTGCTGGGTCAAATGGTATCTCTATTTGCAACTTTTTGAGAAAGCGCCACACTGCCTTCCACAGTGGTTGCACCATTTTACACTTCCATCAACAGTGAATAAGGATTCCAGTTTCTCCACAACCTTGCCAGTATTTGTTGTTTGTTGTTCTGTAAAATTTTGTTATTCTGACTGGGGTGAGATGATACCTCATAGTTGTTTTGATTTGCATCTCTCTTAGAGCTAGGGATTTTGAACATTTCTTCATGTGCTTGTTAGCCATCTGAATGTCTTCTTTGGTGAAGTGTCTGTTCATATCCTGTGCCCATCTTTCAATTGGATTATTTACCTTTATCTTGTTGTAGTACTCAAGTATTTTATAAATTCTGGCTATAAGTCCCTTATCTGATATGTCATTACCAAATGCTTTTTTCCTGTCTGTGACTTCCCTTTAAACCTGTTGGAGAAGTTTTTGGATGTGCATAGGGATTTGATTCTTAGAAGGTCCCATTCATCTATTTTATCTTCTCCTGGTTGTAGGTTTTTCAGGATACTTGGAAGACTGTTTATGTTGTGGATTAGGATTTCTAGCATTCTTCCAAGCTTTTCTTTAATGAAGATTATAGTCCTTGGTTTTAGTCCTAGGTCCAGGGTCCACCTTGATTTGGTTTTTGTATATGGAGTGAAGTGTAGATCTTGCTTGAGTCTTTTGCAGATACTTTTCCAATTTTGCCAACACTATTTGTTAAAAAGGCCGTCATTTCCCCACTTAACTAATTTTATCTCATTGTCAAAAATCAGTTGACCACAGGTAGATGGGCTGATTTCGGGATTCTCAATTCTATTCCATTGATCTATTTGATCTATGTGTCTGTCATTGTACCAGTATCAACCTATCTTAACAACCACAGCAGTATAGTAGGATTTGAAATCAGGAAATGAGATACCTCCTACCTTCCTCCTATTTTTAAGGAGTGCTAACAAAGCACTTCTTAAAAACAAAAATAAAGTGGGAGACATAGCACTCCCTGACCTCAAAACCTTCTACAGTGGTAGTAATAAAAACAACATAGTACTGGTGCCATGACAGGCAAACAGACCAATGGAACAGAATTGAGAACCCAGAAATTGGCCCAGTTGGTCAACTGATATTCCACAAGGAAATAAAACCTATCAAATGGGGAAATGACAACCTCTTTAACAAGTGTTGGTGGCAAAACTGGACTGCCACCTACAGAACGCTGAAACAGGATCCACATCTCACACTATACACAAAAATCAATCCAAAGTGGATCAGAGACCTGGGAGCAAAGCCCCAAACCATAAAATTAATAAGAGACAAACTGGGACCAAGCTTAGAAGGCTTAGTCTATGCTATAAAGAGACTGTCCAATACACCCAGTGTGCTCATCCCTGTGTTCATCATAAACTTTTCCCAGCAGAGTAAAAAGAAAGCCTACTGACTGGCAAAAAAACCATTTGGCAATACTGTCACTGACAAGGGTCTCATAGAATATTCCTGGGCCTCCAGAAGAAAAAACCCGACACCTCAATTACAAAATGGGCAAGACACAGAAAGACCTTTCACAGAGGACAACATCTAGTTGGCCAAGAGACACATGAAGAAATGCTCAAAATCTTTTCTGGACATGCCACAGAGGATCTGTGCCAGAAACAAGCCTGTGAAATACTGAAATGTTTACAAGTCAACAACTACATGG